GGGGTTAGCCCACCAAAACACACCTGGTTCAGTCTGGGTTGTTACACCTGGCCACAGTCACACATGATTTTAATGGATGATCTCTAAAGTTCGTGTTTGTTGTTAACTGGAAAAAGTCACCGTGTAGAAAACAGCAGTCATAACCGCGCATAATACAAAATGTTTCTATCAGGTCACCGCGAAGTTGTCTGTATCTCAAAGGTAAAAGATCAAGATTGGACAAATGTGTTTCATAGCGTAAAGAGCTTTGTCTGATCGTAAGTTTGGCTGCACACCTTTGAGGCTTTTTGAGGATGTTGAGACCTTTCCAAACTTGCAAAACGAACTCCAGTTGCCACCGCACAAAAGTTCCAAAGAATTTGGCGAAGCCGTCTTTATCAAAGATAAAAAAAGCCCGTTTGACAAGGTATCAGAATGTCCTGAGGCATAATTCCAAGAGTACTATGACATGTTTCCGTTTGATTTGTTGATCATCTTCCTCAAACTTCTCTCGAAGACGTTCTACGATATTGTTGATGATGAGGCCGGTTTGAATGGAGGTAAATAAGGAAACCACGACAAACAATATAATTACCTCATCTGAAACTATTTCTAGCTGTCTAATATTCCTCGGAAACTCTTCAGCCGACTTCACTGCGTATTCGGAGTCTTCGGTGAGGAAACAAAACTGCTGGCAGAACCATTTCGATAGTCCAAAGGTCGGGGTGCCACGTAAGGCGACAATGGGGCGAAGGGGCTCTCTCGGCTTATGCCCTTTTGGCAGAGCGTAGAAACGTGCCATCAAGGTATCTATGGCTCTTGCGGTCAGGGCCTCATTTCCTTTGAGGACTTGTCTATCAGCTTGTCTATCACCCGGTTGACGATGTTCACCTGCTTTTTGAACTCTCCAGCTTGAACAGAAGGGAACAGTAAGTAACCAGAAAGTAAGTACCAAAACGGTACATACGAGCAGCTGCTAGTTTACACGAACGTTGGCGGCATGCAAAGGTATCCTTAATAGTAAGGCAGCGCGACACGAGTCGGAATTGTCACGGGAAACCAAGCCCGACAATTGGTTGCACTCTGATAAACCTGGTGATTGGTCGGTTTTCTCTGGCAAAAGTGCTTATTCACTTAAAAAAAGCATGCTCGCATACATAGAAGCAAAGGTATATGCGAAATGAAATTAAACATAAAAACCTACACTATACAATCTTGGAGACACTTGACCGCTAAGTATCTCTGCGTCCCCGAAAATTTATAAAAGCAGACAACTAAACTCATTGCTGGCTAAGGTTCACAAACCCATGAAACACGGTTGTCTAAGCTCGGTCCATTTTATTTGATTTATGGACAGCTACGAGTTTACCTGATACAAAATGCGTCGACAGTACTATTGTCATTTACCTGGCGAACTTTTCGAGTATGAAACCCCCAAGATTTTGAAAGATTATTCATTCAAACTACGTGTGACCGAGGCAACATTTTCTTCTCTTCTCAAAATAAATATTGCATTCGTTTTAGGCTTTTTCAGTCGATTGTTAGAGGAAATTGTTTCCACTGTTACCCCACTTTCTGTTGTCAGTGATGATTGTAAACACAAATTGGATGCGGGAAATATTTTCATTAATTCCCAACTCTTTCAGAAAGAGAACCTTTTAGCTAACACAACAGTACCCACAAGAGTATTGAATAAATAAGTGAAATTTAACTGTTAAGCGCCCAAGGGCACTATCAAAACGGTCATTATTATTTAATGTATATATTTTAACCAAACGTAAAAACACATACAACCAAAAATTTCCAAGAGACCACGAAAAGATTTCAGTGCAGTACTGGAAATTTCGATGGGCAGATCATTCGCTGTGTTGCATTACTTTATAAATGCTAATGCATTTGAGCAGCTGTCTTTTAGATACTCAGATTTCTTTTAAATATTTTAAGTTTTGCCCTTACATTTTCTTGCAGTTGTCCGATATTTCGATCTTATTTACCGCATCTGCGCAGGCTGGATTTGATTTCAAGAATATGCAGATTTTATATGAATGTTGGCAGCAGGTTCGCCATTACGCAAATTAAGATCTCAAACTTAACCAACACATAGGGCTTAATATAGCGTTAATTTCCCTTCTAAATAAAAAAAATAAACAAAAGCCATCGATGTAGGAACATTGTGAGCCCCTTATAATTTAAATCTCAACGGAAGACCAAGGGAGCCCGACCAGTTTGATATTTTGTTTTTCTGCTTCAGTTAAGGCGTATGCTGCAGAAGCGCAGCAAATCAGTTTACCTCATCGTCCGTAACAGCCGACGTCTCTGTGACACGCATCAACATGTCTGATATTAATACTGTCTTCAATCGCATCACACAGGTAGGAATTCTTTTACTTAGTTCACCATGCGCAGAAAGCTGGAGAGACATTGGCCAACAAGGAAAAAACTGCACCCCAGGCAGAAACTGCTGAGCTTCTCGCTCAGTTGGATAAAATGAAGCCATGGTGCAACCAGATGATCTCAGCTGTCGAACAGTTTATTGACGTAACCGCAGGTTTGTTCACATGGTTTTAATTTTGAATAATACGCACTTTACTCTGTATATATACCTTAATTACCACTGACACATGACCCCATGAAGTCATAATCGCCCGTTATGCTTTGTCTCCGGCTGAGCGTTTCTTCAAGGCAGTGAATTAGGGACACATAACATGTATAAGGTTAACAAGCTGATATGTGCGTCATTTATCGCACTGGGTACTGTTCGAAACAACCATAGGCCACATCAGATACTACGTTTGTACTCAGCTTTCTCGTGCCTTGAAATCATTTTGAAATTAATTATTCAGAAGTTTTTGCTTGTTTGTGATGTAAAAAAATGCACAAATTTGGTGCTGTTTCAACAAAGAAATGATAATACCGTAAACTCAAGTTTTGGCTCTTCCCGTGTGTCTATAATTCCGGAGCAGTATACAATAGCAGAGTCGCATCGGGACATTTAAAATTATTAAACTTAGCCCAACACTTGCCTGGATTGTTCTATTTGGTAGACCTATCTTATTCTGTTCAGGGTATTTAATCCAAGGAATTTCTGTCCTACTCCCGGACTAAGAACATATAGAGGTTTTTTTCATGAATTTTAAAATATTTCACAGATTTAAACACCCATAGTTACTTACAATGATTTATTATGTAAATGTGATTATTGTTTCTAGTTTTATCATTAATAATCTGAGGATAATAAACAATAGTGAATTTCTGTTAACTTTTTTAGTTTAAGTTAAGATATGCTGCTACCCTACTCAATCTACTCTTCATTATAAAACCCAAAAGGGCAGTGTATTTCTGTTGCTTCTCTGTAACTTGACGACGCTGGACATTTTGCCATACGCTTTCCGTCAGGCAGTAATACAAGACATAATGCTTTGCAGGCGGTTCCACATGAACGTTCTACATAAGTTTGATGCTGGATTGCTAACGTTTGCATTTGGTGTGCAATCTAGGGGGTGGGGGGCACTTACATTCTCCTTTGTTCTTTAGAAAGGTAATAGGTAAAGCATTTTCAGAGCGGTAACATTTTTATACATAGAAAATGCAATGAACAAGGCGTTTTCCTTCAGATTATAAGCACCCTCCATCTGCCTTATTCCCTAAATTTCACTTAACTATTCCAATTCGTTTTCCTCGTGAATGTTATTTCATTCATAATGTGCAGGTTAGTGAATCGATATTCCAACTGTTTGTTACCCATCGCATTACCGTGCGAATTGTTTGTCCTTTGACTACCTTTGCTTAATATCTGTCGACTTTTGAATCGCGATTTATTGTGCCTTAATGCCATTCTGCCGCTTCAGGAATTAAGGAGCATTCCCAATACTTTGTTATCAGGCCAAAATGCCGCATACTATTTCACAATTTATTAGACACTTTCCTACTCTTCAGGCTCTTAGCCCGTTTGTATTAACTATCTCAAACGCGTTTATCATCGGCCCGAGGGAGAAATTAAGCGGATTGATTTTCCCCAAACACTTTTGATTTAGTCTAAGGTTGCTGTGGCCGTCGATGAACTAACATTTCCTTAGCAATGAAGTCAAACTAATTTATAGTCTAGTTTTCTTCTTAGTTATGGTGTATGCTTACCGTTAAATTAATTATTTGACATGTTTTTGAGTCCATCGAGGTCAATGCGCTTTTCATTGAACAGTTGTCACTATCTTTAAAGTATTTCTCCTTTTATATTTTGCAGATTTGGGAGTTTAAATACGATGTCTTATACGATCAATACCCTTAGCTCGTTTTTCCTATGGCGGAACACAATGTCTACTTATACACGATATCCATTCTATTAAGAAAAATAACTAGGCTCCTTTTTATGACGATAAACCTTCCTCTAAGTTCTCCCTGGTTTCTTTTTAGCAACCAAAGTTGTTGATGTCTTCAAAAAGAATAACGAAAAGAAAACACAAGCTGACAAGATAAATACAGCCTTTCGAACCGTGGGAGAGGAAGCTACTGGTTTTCCAAAAATGAGTAAGTCGTGACTTTTGCATTTCTTCCCCCATATCCGTTCTGCACCTCCTTAGTCACAATCGTTTTCTTTCTCATCTTCTTATAGACCACCTAACTAGCATTAGAGTCAACTGTCCGCCAGTACTTGAAAGCATTAATTCTGACATAGGACGCATTGTATTAGGTCCCGTAATCCCACTGGAGCACGGAGCAGCTCTTGGAGCCATATTTAATGCTCCGGAAGAGGCATACCCATAGGCATCATGTTAAGTTGGCCGGACTGCATGAACGGGTAGCACATACCTGGTGACCCGAACTGCGCAGCAAGCATAGAGGAACTAAGTAACTGTTGTTGGTTATTAGGAGTAGTAGGGATCGCCGACTAGCCGTTATACTCGGATTCCGATGTGACAGTATTAAGTTGAGGGCCATTTGTTGGATTGGAGGGATTAAATTCGAAGCCGGTCAACTAGGGCGTAATAAAGATGCATTCGGTGGAGCATACTAAGAATATATGAATATGAATATATGTGCTTCACCGATCTAGTAGAGGAACAATTAAGTTCCGCTTTGCCCAGGAGCTAACAACGTGAGCCCACCGGACCGTCACATAGTGACTATGATGGTATGATGAAGTGGATCCCACAAGGCAAAGGGAGACCGGAATGGCCATTTCTGGCTT